GGTTATGCTAATGGACAACGTAGTCTTGGTTTTTGTTATGACGAAGGAATTGGAACACCAAAAGATGAGAAAAAAGCATTTGAGTGGTATTTGAAATCAGCAGAGGGTGGTGATGCTAGTGGACAATATAATGTTGGTGTATGTTATCAAAATGGAATTGGAACACAAAAAGATGAGAAAAAAGCATTTGAGTGGTATTTAAAATTAGCAGAGGGTGGTTATGCTAATGGACAACGTAGTCTTGGTTTTTGTTATGACGAAGGAATTGGAACACCAAAAGATGAGAAAAAAGCTTTTGTGTGGTATTTGAAATCAGCAGAGGGTGGTGACGAGATTGGACAATTCAATCTTGGTTTGTGTTATCAGTATGGAATTGGAACACAAAAAGATGTGAAAAAAGCAAAAATGTGGTATAAAACTGCGGCTGAAAGTGGTTGTAGTTATGCAATAAAAAATTAAATACATGTAATATTTTAAATCTTTCTTTTATATTATCCTGTTTCTAATTTTTTTATTACTTATTTATTAGAGTATAATATTTTATTGAATTTTACTTATGATATTTAGCTTTGTACTTTTTATCTGCTACTTTATTTGGTTAATCATCTGGCCATCGCCATAACGTTTAAATGTATATTTTCAAAGAAAGCGTATATTTACTTATTTTATTTTCTATACATTTTCAATAAAAAGATATGATTTTAATAAGCTAGAGCAGAATCAAATATAATTATTCAAATCGCACTCGTCTATACAAAAGGTTCTCTCGATATAACAAACACTTCTGTTCATATTGAAATTATTATTGTTATACGTATAAATTTTGTTTGTTATAGCGGATTCGTTGATTTACCGGATAATTTGCGGTCGGTTATATTCATGCAACTTGACGTAAGGTTTTTTTTACCAATATCTCTATCAAATAACAAGAGTATTTATTATTACTTTTAAGTATTTGAATAACCAAAATTTGCAAATATACTTATGAAAGTTATGAAATTTTCACATTTTCACAGTGAATGTAATTCATTCTGCTTTTTATCATTTTTCGCTAACTTAAATCGACTCCCATCTATAAATCATCATTATCTCGTTTATTTTTCCATAAAATACTAAAACTATTGCACAGGTAGAAAAAAATGCACTTAACTTTAGTACACTTGGATTCTTTTAAACCATTAACTAAAGTCCACGTTTTGTTATAGTTTTTTTGAGGATTCTCCTGAATTGTGACATAACCATAACAAACACGTAAATTTCTCCAAAGGTTCGACAAGACAAATATGAGTAGAACTTCCCTTTTTTTACCTGTATTGAGTACTACGATAAATGTTGCAATGAATGTACTCGATGTTAAAGAATGAATACTGCTGGAAATGTTTTTATATCACAAACGGAGTTCTGAAGCTGAATATTGAGATAAAAAATACAGACTGTCTAAGAATAAAATTGATTAGATATTCTTCAAATGAATCCATTTTGAAAGATTTACCAATATTGAAGGTCTTGCAAAAGAAGGTTTTGGAACAACTTAAAAAGCAACCTGCCTGGTGGACGGACCATTGAAGCAACGGAATATACTCGACAGTATTGGATTATGAAATATACAAATTCATTAATACTAAATATGAAAAAAAAAATAAATAGGAATGAAGGTTATGTTTTTATTTTATTTATAGAGTATTCCTTATATGTGTTCTGAGGTGCTAAATTAAAGTCTATAGATTAAATTTGCATATTTTTATAGACATGGTATTGTTATGTACGAGATTGTGACAAGTGGACAATTATTCAGTGAGCGAAGTCATGTATTTGGCATCTTCAAAATTTGTAAATTAGTGCAACTTAAGGTATTAAAATACTGTTCCCGGATGGTGAAAATTTATTATTGAAAAAGGTTGGTATCCTATATCAACCGCTTGAAATCTTTACAGTTTTATCATCCCTCTTTAGAAGATAAAGGAATTAAATAATTCTTAAAAAATAAAGGTAAAAAATAAAGGAATTGATGAGAAGCTGAAAGTATAAGTGAACAGAAAACAAAAACTGCACTTATTGCAGTTTGCAAAAAGGTTGTAGTCATGCAAATTGCAGTTAGATAAAAGTTTTCATGTTAACCAAAAAAGCGCATGAAAATTAGTATTTATCTTTTATCTTCTATAGTTTGATGCACTGTATATAACGATATTGGATATATGGAGCATAACATCTAAAGGGGTTTGGTTCGAAATCACGATATTCGTAATCCCAACAGTACATAAGCCCGACTGACAAAATCCCGAAACGCCAAAATCCTGACAATTACAAAATCCCGACACTTCAAAATCCCGACGATTCAAATCCCGACAATTACAAATCGTTAATCAACTTTTTGATCAAAACACTTCCGTTGGGATTTAAAAAAGTTCATCTATTTTATAAGATACAAATGTTTTAATGACTTTAGATATTTTGCACCATACTGATTCTAAATTCTCAGATTTCCTACATTAACTACAATTTGCATGAATCCTAAATGCGATAGACGCAATTTGCGCCAGTGAATTTTTACTTAAAATTAACTTCAATATCAAAAGAAGAATGCTGCACATTGTTGGAAGAAGACGATAACAACTTTACTTTATACTTAAACATTTAATTGGTTAGAATCTAAAAATTTAAGATTATAATCCTGACAGTATTTAATCGATGTTAACTATATTCGCTCAGCGACAACAAGTGTCTTACAAGAAAAACTACAAATTCATGATGAAGCACTACAATGCAATTATAACACTGTTCTTTGTAAGAATAAGGTTATCGTTAAATTGAAATGGCACATAACATCTAAAATTATCAATAGGTTCGCTTTTATGAACTCAATAAACTTTTTGACTAATTGAATACAAGATTTTATTGGTGAATATGATCAAGAAAGGCCTAACTATTATATTCATGGATTAAAGTTTGTTAACAAGCTTATTGAATTTATAAGCTCAATTTATTGGTGTGTCGATAAGTTATTCCGTAATAGAACTGCTTTAATTAGACATTGAAACTACAATTTTGTGCGCAGAGCTGAATAAATTTCTCAACGTGCAATATTCTCTTGCTATGCTTTGAGATACTATATATGTATGTTTTCTAGAGTCAGCGAAAGTAATACAGTACAAATATCATTCAGCATTTATATTGGTAGATGCACATTCTCTATGATATTATCTCGTAATCAAAGTGATAAAATTTGATCTTTTTGAATTCGAACTTGCAATACCGATACAGTAGCACAGAAAAGATTTCGCCATACGTATTGAAACAAGAATACGTACATGTATACTGTACTACATGTGTACGTATTGTCCAAACATCATGTGCCCCGTTACGCTAAATAAATCTACTGTATTCAGAGATAAGAGTTTATGCAACGCTGCAACATTATACATGTACGTAGTAACAAATTATCTTTCTAATTTATTACTAAAAAAGCCAACTTATCTTTTTTTGCTGAGAGTAAACAACAAGGTATTTAATAATGTCTCAAACAAAGACTCCTTTATATTAATATGTATTCGAACATTAATAATGCCTGTGCAAACAGAGCAATAAGTTTTATTAATTAGAGATAATTATCGATTTTTCAGATTCAAGTCTTTCGCATTTTTATGTACGTACGTAGTTTGAAGATCAAATACATGTACTCACGTGGATGATTTGAAAGTGAGTATTGACCAATCATAGAAACTGCCAAATTAAAATTACGAGAATAGTCATTCACAAATATGAATCGTTATACATGTACATGCACATGATTCCTTGGTGTCTATGTTTTGCTCTTATTTATCTTTGCAGTTTGCAATACAGTAATATTTCACATAATGTTTCATACAATACAAATATGTGAATGCTTGGCCAAAGATGGAAATTCAAATGAACCTATCGCGGCTCCATCTTTAACCTTGACATTAAAGCTGGGCGCCTCACTCAATTGCGGCATATTGCAACACAGTTGCGGCATATAAAATTTTGCAACATATTGCGGTCTATGAAAAAGATAAAGAGTGATTGAAGCGTCACTTCTAAGTCTTTAATTGATCTAGTTTTGTATTTGCTAAATTTGAGAGAATAAAATTTCACTGATTGTGTAATTTATTCGAATAAAAGAACCTTTTTCGAGATATTTTTCTAGATCAATTAAAAATGGGTAATTTTATTTGTATACCCAAAAAAAGCAAATTACT